ATGGCAAATAACAACAACAACATGGCAAAATATTGAATGATTCAGGAAGTATCAAAAGAAGATGGAAGGAATACACAGAGTCATTATACAAAAAAGAACCGGTTGATAGGCAACTTACTTCAGGAGATAGCATATGACCAAGAATCAAGGGTATTGAAGGAAGAAGTACCAGCTGTACTGAAGGAACTGGCAAAAAAATAAGGCTCCAGGAACTGATCGAACCAATCTTTGAAATACTGAGATGTTTCAACAAATGTATGCAGCATTGGAGACACTAACTCATTTATGCCAAAACATTTGGAAGACAGCTACCTGGCCAACTGACTGGAAGAGATCAATGTTTGTGGCCATCCCAAAGAAAGGTGATCCAATCAAATGTGGAAATTATCAAACAATATCACTGATATCACACATAAGTAAAATCTTGCTGAAGATAATTTAAAAAAAAAATTGTAGCAGAAACTCCAGAAACTTGAGCTAGATTCAGAAGAGGATATGGGACGAGGGATATCATTCCTGATGTCAGATTCATCTTAGCTGAAAGCAAAGAATACCAGAAAGATGTTTCCCTGTGTTCTATTATCTGTGCAAAAGGATTCTACCATGTGGATATAACAAACTATGGATAACACTGAGAAAAATGGGAATTCCAGAGCACTTAATAATCCTCATAAGAAACTATACGTAGACCAAAAGGCCATAGTTTGAATAGTATAGGGGATGCTACATGGTTTAAATTCAGGGAGAGTGTGCATCAGGGTTGTATCTTTTCACTATATTGATTGAATCTGTGTGCTGAGCAAATAATTCAGAAACATAGACCATATGAACAAGAACACTGCATCAAGACTGGAGGAAGACTCAGTAACCTGTGATATGCAGATAAGATAACCTTCCTTGCTGGAAGTGAACATGACTTGAAGCACTAACTGATAAAGATCAAAGACTATATCAGTCTTTGATAAAGACACAATAAATAATAAATGGAAAAAAGATTGAAGCATTTAGGGGTATCAAAAGCTGTGATGTTTAAAGTAGACTGCCTAATCTTTCTTCTGTGGAACAACTGTTGGATTCAGACTGCTGACCTTTTGGTTAGTAACCAAATGCCTTAACCACTGCACCTCCAGAACTTCCTCATGTATACAACATATTCCAGTAATTCCACACTTAGTTAATTTTTAAAAAATGTTAATGTTCTGGTTACCTAATGCTGCTCTGACAAGAATATACCACAAGTGTGATGGCTTCAACAAACAGGAGTTCATTCTTTTACAATTCAGGAGGCTAGAAGTCCAAGTTCAAAGTACCAGGCTCTAGGGACTGTGTGAAAGCCCCTCGACCTTGAGCTTCAGCTCTCTCTTGCTCCCAGACCACTGAAGCTAGAGGCATCTCTTCATTCATGCAGCTACTGGCTGCTGAGGCTAACAAGCCCATGGTCCACAAATAAAATGGCACAGTCCCTATGTTACCAAACCACACAGCAGACCATTTATTCAAGTCCATTGTAAGTCCCAAGGTCGGCAGAGCATGGCAGGCTGCTGAAAAACAACATGGGTACATGCAGGGTCCAAGTGTAACATATGCTAGAGACCATTCCCAAAGCTGCTATTTATGTATGGGAAGCAGAGCATATAGTCAGAGGCAGCTATTAAGATGCTCACAGTAGATTCCACCAGAGTTGATTATCAGTGTCATCATGGGGAATACTACATCCAGCTGCCCTGCCACTCAACCAAGGCCAGCCAAGATGACACACAAACTTAACTACCAAAGTTACATATAAGACTTTAACTACAAAATTGCTTCGAGAACACAATCCAATCGTCTTATAATGAACCTCTACCCAATCAGGAAATAAAACCCCAAAATAAAGCACTCAAACTTGACTATGGCACTTGTTTCATGTGATGATACTCACAGGTATGCAGCTTTTCCTTCTTCCAGTTCTTTATTTTTGCCACTGGAGCCACTTTTCTTCCCGCACATTCTCCTGGTGATACACATCAGTAATCCACATTGTCGAATAAAGAAGCAGCTGACATCTGTTACCACAAGGATTAGCAATAGTGCTGCAACTCCCAGGCCAATGACTGCTCCAAGCCCAAGACCATTAAAAAGTGTGTCTTAAAAACATAAAAAGAAAATAATTTTACTATGTTATTTAACCTTCAACAAGAAATTAGTCAACCATAGAAAATTATTTTAAAAAGTAAAATTTTATCCTAGAAAAAAATTCAACTCAAGATGCAGGAAAAAATGTGGCAGTCTCACTGATAGGCTTCAATTTCATGATTGGTGGACCTATTCCTTGGGTTGTCAAACAGTACTTTAAACAACTGACATGTTAACAATGATTTGAAATACTTTTCACACTTTCTTTAAAAAAATCTAAGTAACTCTTCTTTCCAATATACATTCAATTCCCTATGGGGAAGATAATGAATATTATCATATCCTTAACTGTACTCCATCAGAAAGTCATAGCCATTTATGTATCATCACATTGTTAAAAGGAAAATACAGTCAAAACTCCTCTAAGAGTGGTGTTAAATAAATGTTCCATATGCAATTGTTTTAGTTTTAAGGCTTGCAAATGGATTGCTCTAAGCTCTTTGCTTTGACAGGAAATGCATTTTAAAATACTTGCCTATGAATGATATAAAAATCATTTTAGAATAAATGTTTTACTTGTGTATTTCAGAAAAATATTTTCACAAATCCTATTAAAGAAGAGACATATTTTTTAAAGAATCATAATTCTCATGGATTTTCTGTTTTTGTTTCATAAGAATGTAGGGGAAGATGGGAATCACTTTTGTTTGGCATGTGGTCCAGTGTTGCAGGAGATCCCAAAAAGCAAACATAATGTATACATGAAAGACGTGATGGGAAATAGAGTAAAAACATGCTGACTACAGAGTAGAAAGGTCAAGAGGGACAAGAAGGAAAGATTATGAATCAAATGTTATATCTGTCATTTAATACGAAGGTAGGGTGTGCAACTTTAGCAATATGCACAAGGAAATGAACATGATGTAGTAACTAGAGTAAATTGGCAATGTGTGAAATTTAGACAAAAAAAAGCTTACAGAAGAAAATGGTCAGTACTCTTTCAAATGTTTCATAATACTTTTGTGTTAAGAATTTGCTTAAATAACATGTTTAATTATAATTCCCTTTTAAATGAAAAAAATATTTATTACTCAGAATGACAGTAATATATTCAACATGCAACTGATAGGGAAGACATGATAGATACAGATAGTGATGTAAATTTGTCTTTTGAGAAAACTACCTATGAAAATAAATATGTAACACAAAGTTGTTCTCATATTTTTTAAATTAAATCAAATATTTTTAGTAATGATTGAAAGAAAATTTTATGTAAGAGGTCAGAGTCTTTTTTTTTTTTTTTCATCCTGAATCTACCATTAACAGATTACCCTTGAATATGTCATCCCTGGATGAATCCAATTTTGTGTTTTAGTAGGATGACTGAGTCTCATGCCTACATGTGATACTTTTTCCCAAAAGAAACAGAAAATTTATTTATATTTCTTGACCATTTCTGGCATGGTACCCCAGCACTTATACAGGCAAATTTGTAGTTCACCTGTACTGGGGCATTCTGCAATGTCTCAGTAATGTTGCTATTGAGAGTTCCTTAAGAACTAAATACACAAAGCTTGAAATTCACTTACCCAAATAAAATATAATTTAAATTATTATGTGTTTTGTTCAGATAGAGATAAATAGGTAATAAATACACAGTAGTGTTGAAGGAAAAATAATTAGTTACATCACTTCAGAATCTGTATTTCCTATTAAATTTTAACATGGTATTTAGAAGTTTATAGTTTAGGAAAATTGTTTAGGCAATATCCAGGTAAATTGTTGGTTTCCACACAACTGTTCTCTCATTAATGAACCTGCTTTGAGAAAAGACTGGAGGAAGGACATTTTTTCAGCCATGAGAAATGAGTATTTTTCCCCCACAATCTCAATTAACAAATGGAGGCTCAGACTCCAAATATTAGTTATCAATTTTCAAAAGGATAGCTCTTCAATTGATTGTAAAAAGATCTAGTGTTCCATGTTATAATGATAATATAACAAGTGAATTAGTATTTCTATCAGCAATTTAAAAAATAATTTTATATTATCTTCCATTATTCTTTTCTAAATATTATTCTCATCTGAATATATTATTATAGTATAATGAAGACAACTTACCTATGAAACATCTTTGATTATAAAAGATGTATAAAGCTAATATTTTTCTCAAATTTCTTAGGTAATCTTTTGTGATATGCTGTACATGATTCAACAACCAACGCTCAGAAATAGAAGTTAAAAAAAAAAAA